GGTGGTTGGACAAGAAAGCCCTGGGGAGTTTATGCAGTATGGCACAAAAGCTATCATTTAGGAGGAAAGGGTAACACCATTGGCCTCAGGGTCCTGGGTGGTTTGGGGGGTGGTGGTTGATTTGAGTACCTACTCCTAAAGTAGAACAAGAGATGTTACTCTGAGACCAAGAGAGAGTACACGTTTAAGCTCGAGCCTTGATCAGAACAGATGCCCTTTCATTCTGGATAAATAGCTCCAAATAATAAGCAACTAAGAATAGTTACTAAGAATACTAATGGGAGAGACAGGAGAGAAATAAGAGCTTGCCAACAGACCCTAGGTAAGGCACAGCACAGAAGGAAGATAGGAAGTTCAGAATCAAGCAGATTTCTCTGGAAACTACCTGCTACTTTAACAACAAGCCCATTCTCCAGTTGCTTGAAAGATCGGTACACTGACAATAACCTTCATGACTCACAAAGTAACTCAACCCCTCCAAGATGGGCAAACTCCCTCTTTCCTCATAGAAATATGTCTACTTCCAGACATAAAAACAATTCATGTCACTACTGTCCCACTACAACATGTCTGGCCTAAACATTACAAAGCACATGAACAAGCAAGAGAATTCACATTCCCACAAGACACAGCAATCAGAACTAGATTCAGAACCCGGTGTGGGGGCACACGTCTGTGATCCCAGCACTTGGGATGCTGAGGCAGGAGAACTGACATGAGGTCAGGGCCAGCCTGTAGTGGGTTCAAGGGCAGCCTAGACTACATAGTGAGACTCTGTCTCAAAAAACAAAACAGGGGCTGGGGATTTAGCTCAGCGGCAAAGCGCCTGCCTGGCAAGTGCAAGGTCGTGAGTTCGGTTCCCGGTACCGGAGAAAAACCAAAACCAAACCAAACCAAACCAAACCAAACCAAACCAAACCAAACCAAAACAACCCAACTAAACCAACAAACCAAACAAGACTCGGGTATGATACGAACGTTGGAAATATTAAATAGAAAATTTAACATAACTATGACTGATATGCCAACAGTTTAGAAAGTGGGTAACATACAAAATCTGGGGGGTTACTTTACCAGTAAGATGGAAACTAACAGGAAATGGAGAAAAAGAATGCTTCTGCCTAACCCTGGGTAGAGTTGACAAAACAAAGTAAAGAATAACTGAACTTGAAGACAGGACAACAGAAATTACCTCAGTTAAAAATCCAAGAGAAAAAGCATGAGAGAAAATAAGAGCAGAACAACCAAGAGTTATGGGACAGTCTCACACATTCTAATATATGTGTAATGGAATCCTAGAAGAGAGAACAGACTGGGCATGGTGGTGCACACTTGTAATCCCAGGACTCAGGAGGCTGAGGTAGGAGAATCACTGTGAGTTCAAGGCCAGCCTGGCCTACAAAGTGAGTTCAAGGCCAGCCTGAATTGCATAGTGAAACCTTGTCTCAAAGAGACAAAAAAAGGCAGAAAAACAGTTAGAGAAAGTTTAACAGTATTTTTCAAAATTAATGACAGACACTGAGCTTCGGATAAAATACTAAATCTTAAATATGGTGGGACTGAGGTGGAAGTATGCATCTTGTGTGTGGGTGATGCACAGGTATTTGCTGAAAAATCAAAGGCGAAGAAACAC